ATATATATATAATACATACATATATATATATATATATATATATATATATATATTGGAAGTTTCTTAATATTGGTTTCTAATTAATTTGATCGGTAACTAAAATAACATATCATATTAAAAATATTAAGCAAATTAATACACGCAAAATAAAATAAGATAAAATAAAATAATAATAATAATAAAAAAAAAATCTGTTTACAATGTTTTGAAATTGCATATAAGTATGCAATCCATATGTTATATACTGAATGAATTAAATACAAAGTATGTAACAATTTTTGTATACAATTTTTTTAAAGTTGTTTGATGATTTTACATTTATAAGTATTTGGTTACTTATGAAGATGAATGAAAAATGATTTAAGATAAAAGAATATCTTATTTAATGATGAGTTGATCTGTAGAATCGGTAAAAAATCGTATATTTCAAATATTACGTTCTTTATTTTTGTTCTGACAGAGTTAGAGCAAATAATATCCTGATCAAAATTTCTAATCGTTAAATACACACGTTATTAAAATTCAGAAAAAAATCTGTTATACATAAGTATATTACTACTAAGAAATTACTTATAATTTTTTTTTACTAAAAAAATGAAAATGGAAATTTAGGATGATTTCTATAATGAAAATTTAGGACTTATAATTTATCCTAATGTATAATTAGCTGACCAAAAAAAAAATAAAAAGAACTTAAATTGCTAAATGAAATATGCGGTATAGGCGGTGTGCAGTCTTTAGTAATTAAAAAAAAAGTAATCGTGCTTATATAATTGAAGTACCATCATTCGATGTATACAGGCTGATCATGAATAGAGATGTTTGTTTTCGTCTGATGTAAATTATGATAATGATGATAATAATAATAATAAGAATAAGAATAATAATAATGTAATCAGTTCCCGCATTAGTGTAGAAATTTCTTTATCCTTGTCATTTCCTGCACAGTATGCATACATCCCAAAAGAAGAATATTTTATAAATTCTATTTGATAAACTAGCCAGAACAAAAACAAACTATTTTAACGGCAAATAACACATAGACTACATAAAGCACAATTACAGTATATTTCACAAATCGTTTAAACATTCATATATAATTATACGAATCTTCGCATATGACGGAAAGGCGATTTGATCAATTAGGGGAAGATTATTTCGTAAAAACAATGTATTTTTAAGGACAGGAAAACATTAGGAGATTGAAGGGCTTTGCGAAAATGGCTTCATCTGGCAGACTGCCATGCCAGTTTGGATAGCTGGCTTAGAAATTGCGAGGCCTATCTCTCTTTGCTGTGAGAGGTTCTTTCCTAACTTTTTTAGTTTTTTTTTTTTAATTTATTCCGTATTTTTTCATCTTTCATATTTTCTTTTCATTCAAATCTTTTTTTATTTGCATTTCCCGCCACGATCGATGCATAATTTCGGAATGTTGACAATATTCTAATTTTACCTTATTAAGGTGCAATAAATAAATGATATCTCTTTTACACTGAGATATACATGGTTGACTGACTGTTAGTTTTATTCTAAACAGGTGAAGGAGGGTGCAATTACAACACCTGCTGATAATCATAAGCAGTAAGACAACCATTTTGCATAGCTTTGTTTTTTTTTTGTTTACTTTTTTATCGACGTATACCACTGAAAACTTAAAAAAATAGAAACAAACTTTTGTAACTAGAAACAGTAAGTCATTGCACCGTCAGTTACCACTCACTGCATTTTTTTATGTCAACTGATGGGCCGATGTGACATTTATAATGTAGTGGACAGAGCAACATTCTCTCATCTATTGATCACATTTTTATCATCGTATTTATATAATGTAATGTACAATATGCAGCTACATTATGATAATCAGTATGTCCAACGTATTCAAACTGACAACACCGTGGGTATTTCACTTTTTTGTTCTTAAGTTTTTTCAAAGATATTCAAATTATTAATTAATCAATGTGTATTGTATGTTTCAGAGTTAGGTACTTTAATACAATTACTTCCAAGTTTTCCACTTTTCTTGTGGTATCTCTGTGTAAAAAGTGTAACTATAATGCTAATATAATAATAATTATAATAATAAGTTGCACAAGGCAATAGTCTTGTGTGGCCGTTCGAATGTGTGCTTCCGGCCGGTTTCCCCACTCCCCTCCCCCCAAAAAACTTCCTGGCACAATGACAACTTTCGACAATCTTCACCCTCCACTTCAAGATCAAAAAGATCTCGCAGTTTGCACTTAGTATTACCTCTTTTTATACTATTATTCATTCATGGGGGGATAGGTGTGCAGCTGATTTTATGATGTTAATATAGCAACTGAATGTTGACAAAATAACGTTCCAATTAGCGATTGGCATTTTTGAGCTGATTGGAGAGCCAATCAAGACCCTCATAAAGTCCATCTCCACTTGTAGCACACGTTGCTTGAATATACCAATTACGATTGCGGAGAGAATGAAGCCCCAACTTATCAGTAATTTCTGCTGCATTCATTGCATTTGGGAGATCCTAAAATATTAATTAATAAATACTAGTCTCAATTTTATACATTATTTTTTATTTCTTTCTTTTTGTATTATTAAAATTTGTTACTTATATAAATTTTATATGATTGACACAAAGTAATAAATATTATGTTTTTAATATACTATATATAATATGAAATAAGATACATTTCTCTATCTAAGAGATAATTATAAATAATTATATATTATTATATATAATTATATATAATAAATATATTTCAGAAACTTACTTGTTTATTAGCAAATATAAGAAGTACTGCATCTCTAAGTTCATCTTCTGCTAACATTCTCATCAATTCTTCACGTGCTTCACCAATACGTTCCCTATCATTACTATCAACAACAAATATCAGTCCCTGAAAATAAATTTATTCTATGAAAACAATTTTATTAGAGATATTATATGTTTTAAATAAACAAGAAGTAGATTTCCAAGTATTTATTTTCATAAATAATTGTATTAACTCCTTCCCGCATCATTTAGCTCGACGAAATCTGGGCCCAAGCAGTAGGGCACTTTGCAATGTAGATTATAAGAATCGTGATTTTCTCGTGGCGTACTGGCAAAAATTAAATTTCAATTGAAAAAATTCATTCCACGAGTCCCACTTGTGATGTTTAGGTTTGGTTGATCTTCAGTTCACGAGTTCCACTCGTGCAATTCATGTTTGGGCCGAAATCTTCATCACGAATCAGACTCGTGATAATATGGGAAGGGGTTAATTTATACAAAAAAAATTTAATTAATATTATGATGAATAACTTAATTAGAAAATTACATACTTGTGTATTTTGAAAATAATGTCGCCAAAGAGGTCTGATTTTATCTTGACCACCTACATCCCATACAGTAAAACTTATATTCTTGTATTCAACTGTTTCTACATTGAAACCTAAAATTTATGACATATTTAATTAATAAACTATATAACAATATTTTAGATATAATAGACAATAACTTTTTTTGTGCATATTAAAAATAAAAATATATTTGCAATGTATTTTTAATATTTAAATATGTATAATTTCTATATTTACCTATAGTAGGAATTGTTGTAACAATTTCCCCTAATTTTAATTTGTACAGAATTGTGGTTTTACCCGCTGCATCAAGACCTACCATTAAAATCCTCATTTCTTTTTTGCCAAAAAGGCCTTTAAATAATGTTGCAAACATATTCCCCATGGTTAATGCTGATTATTTAAATACCTAAAACAAAATAATAAACTAAGATTTCACAAATATACAACTAAATCAAATTATTAAAAAAAAAAAATTATTAAAAAACTTGATTGAAATTAATAAAAATTCTATTTGATATATATCACACGATTGAAATCCATAAAGAATATATATTTCTTGTTAATATTCTATTAAATAAAATTAATTATATACATAATATTTTTTTATTATGTGTAAATTATAGTTATATTTTTATTTAAAAATATAAATAAATATTTACGAATGAAAGTTTTATTGAACGATAATTAACACTAACGAGAGTATCACTTGTAAAAACATAAAGACAAATAAAAATATTATAAAATTATAATTGAATTAAAAAAATAGACTACTAAAAAATTAATTATCTTGAATTTATGATTAGTTCGAAGAGATATATGCCCGACATATGTAATAATACAATGTATATACAATCAACGTGCAATAATACATATCGAATTTAAAATCATTTCGAAATAATTTTCACAAAATGAAAAAAAAAACCGAATTGATTGAACTAATGAAATAATCTTAAACAACATTAATGAACAAAAGACTTGTTTCATGAAAAAAATTGAAATTACGTAGATAGAATTGGAGCAGAACATGCGTAAAATACACTAATACATTGATATTAAATCTAAGCTAACCTGCACAATTATGAAAAATTTACGATAAAAAATAACTAAAGAGAACAATTTAAATCATAGATTTTAATTTAACTGAACGAAAAAAAATTATATAGAGGCACGCACGAGATGCTCATGCTGCCCGCTATTGATTCTCATTTTAATACATCGCTATGATTATCGGACTAGCATACCGTTAAGGATCACTCTAGAGTGTTTTGCTGGTGATCTATTCACTTTTAAAACGTGATCGGCTACCTAAAACGCCAATACCGAAGTATTGCGAACAAGGCGGAAGATATTGTGCAGTTTGCGAAGCCACTGCGTACACCCGGTTGTCTGTCACCTTCGACCTACTCCCCAGCAAATCGTCAAAGGTTCCCCGCTCAAAGTTCCATTATTTAGAAACGTCGTTTGATTATTGAGACTTCCCCGTAATGTCACGTTGCCTGTATAAGTCACTTACGTTACTTACGTTTCAGTAAAAAAGATTATTTTCACGAGAAACGATAAAACATAAAACCAACACTCTCGAAAAGTACCGTATGTCAAAATGGCGGACGTGGAAAGGATTCATACCTTATGCCACGTATAGGGCCCTCAAAATTCTCCGATTGGTTAAGCTAGTCACGTGACGAATAAAATCTTCAATGATTTGCATTTAGTTCGGTAGGTGGCGATACCAAGGAAACACAGTAAGTCATCAAAAATTCCAAAGTGTATCGGTGAATAAATGGAGGACTGATCATAGAAAGGCTCACACTCATGAAAGCGAAATTGTATTTTTTCCTTAATTATAAATTCCAATAATATAATTATAGAAAAACGAACTATTTTATCAATGACTAAGATTATATAGTTATAAAGTTACGTTTGTGCTCATATTATTTTTTATTTTCTCGTGAATGAATTTAATTAAATAGTGTTAATCAATTATTGTTATAACCATAATTATATTCGTAATACGATCGTAAATATTCGTTAAATTAATAAAAAACCGGTTTAAAATTCTCAAGTGCTAATATATTTTGAGTTAAAATGTCTCAAATTTCCTGTTGTATTATGTTTTATGTAACGTGATGGAATTATATTATTGGTATGAATATTTCTATTTTCTATTCTATTTTGCACATTTATATTATAATTTAAGAGTATAATCCTTACTAATAATGCTATATAATATTTTAATTTCTTTTTATAAACCGTTTTTATTATTTTCAATCAATCAATCTAAAGTAGAAATATAATTATTTGTCCTTTTATACACCTGGAGTATGATATTTTTCATCTAATGTACCCTCTCCATAAAGTTGACATTCTTCTATATTATATGGGATATCTGTTAATATTTCTAATATTTCAACTAATTCTCCTGGTTTTCTGTATATACAATAGTTATTGAATATAATGATTAATATAACAAATAATTAAATATTTTTAATTAATTAAGTTACTTTGGTTGAAAAGATATTGTGATCGTAAAATCTTCATGATTGTAACGACTTAATAATGTTCCATATTCTTGATCAATCATAAAATCATTGATCTTAAACTTTTTATTTATTTTAAAGTTTACATTACATACTGTAAGAAATTAAATAATTAGATTTAATCAAAATATATATACTAAAGTAAATATTAATATAATACAATTATTAAAAAAAATAAATTTAATTATACTTGACAAGTTTTTGATTGTTAATGTTAATTTCTTTGTATCACCTATGTAAACAAGACCAAAATCTAATGTATATAATGATAATTTTAATATTGGAAACCATATTTGTAAAATTAAATCTATATCCTGAAAATACACAAATTTAATGTATAATTATTTAAATTGAAGCAGAATAAAAAAGAAAGATAATTAATACCTCTATATGTTTATCAGAATATATAATGTGCAATGATTCTTTTAATGTGACTTTTGGGTAGTAAAATTCTTGATTTGTGCTCAATATAGTTTCAATTAATTTCTGTTTTACAATACATATTATTGTTATCTATAAAAGAAAAAGTATTATAACATATAAAATTTACTTTTATAAGATAAAAATAAAGATATTACTTCAGCATATTCATTTGGATTTATGCATAAAATTCCAATTTTACATTGATATGATTTTGTATGTATTGTAATAGATTTAATATAAAATGGGTCATTTGTTTCCAAAAATATTTCTATTTTGTAATTTTTATTATTATATAATAATAATTTTTTTGTTAATCTAAAAAAAATATATTAGATAAAGAATCCAGTATATAATTTCTGTATTTTTGAAAGAAAAATATCTGTAATTTTATATTTGTACATACTCTATTTGTTTTGTTTTACTTTGTATCACTTCATTGGCACAACATATAAATGTTTTATCAAATTTATTGAAATATAATTGAGGTTTAATAATATTTGCAGTAATATCAATTTCTACAGGAGAAAAATATTTATCTATCTGTCTAATATAATAATTTTTTCTATACCTATTATAAAGAAATATCCTATGATTCACTATAAATTTTTAATTTATATTATTAGCTAATTGTACAAACATATCGCTTGGTGAAATTCGTAAAAATCCAAGAATTTTGCAAAAAAAATTCTCCTTCAATAAATTCATCAATTTCCTTGATAAATTTATATTTATCAAGTTGTATATTAATAGTTAAAGATGCACTACTTTTGGGTGAAATGAACATTTCTTTGGGAGTAACCTTGAAAAATAAATTAAAAATAAAATTCTTTTATCATATTTAAAGAATATGTTTTTTTAATTATCTTCTTACTTTGCAAATTTTTGTATTAATTAAACCATAATAAGGAAGTATTGAAATTTTTAATTCTATGTCATGTTGTTTATTTGTATTTGAGTTTTTGCATTTGAGATAAATTTTACAATCATGTTTACACTTTAAATTGTCACATTTATTACAGTTTTTGGAATGTTTATTTATTAGAATTTCATCATTAGATATCCCAGATGAAGTCATAAAAGAGGATTCCCTAAAATAAAATGTAATTGTATACTTTTAATAATTGCAAATGCTGATATTAAAAATATTTACATATAACTAGATGTTGTAGAGTCAGTTATATCATTAATTTCAATAGAATCACATGTATTTAAATTCTTTGATGAAGAAAAATTTATATGTTCTTCTAAGTGTATTTCACTCTCAGTTTTTTTATTATTTAATCTTAGTTGTGATGCTAATTTGTCAGTAAATGGAGTCTGGATGGTAAATACTACATTAAAAGGCATTTTTTTTATAATTGGTTTAATTAAAAATGTATGCCAATTAATAGCTATAGGTACTACACTTGTATTTGTCAATAATATTTTTCTGTCATTTAGGCGCATACCTATAGCTTCAACTCCATATCTGCAAATATATATTTTTCAAAATGAGAAAATTTAAAATTTTTATTAAAATTTATGAAATATATTTTTGAATATACTTAATAACAGGTATATTAAATTCATTTCTATCAGAAATTGATAATGTAATTGGTGATCCAACAACTTGTACACATATTCCTACGGTATATTTTGGTAAACCAATAATATTTATTTCTAATTCATCCATATAAATACCCCATGTATCAGCAAAAACATAAATATCCACAGATATGGCTTTGAAAGGGCCAATATCTGAATTTAAAGGATCGACATAAATTACTATACCTGATCCAGGTTGTTTTGCTTTATATAATGTTTCTTCTAGAAAGAGATAAAATAATGTCTTTAATTAACTTAATAGTTTCATAAATAAATAGTATGTTACCTACTAATCCTTTTTTTTGACCAAACACTCGCTTATAAATAGATTTAATTAAATCTTTTTTTGATTTCCATTCACATGTACATCTGATAGGATAAAAATTTTTTATACTAAGCCAAAAATTAGTTGGAATTAAAGTTTCATTTTTTATTATAAAAGTTTTCTTTCGCACTGAAAATTATAATTATTTTATTGGAAATATATATTTATTTTTTTTTCATTTTAAATAAAATATGTATTTTTAATTTAAAATATCTTAAAATAAAAGCTTAAAATACCTGTTCTTAATGGTAAATTTAAAAATTCTATTACAATAGACTGTGTAATTAATGGAAGATATCTTTGATAAAATGGTATGATATTTCCAGAGGAAATTATATTTTGTGAATAATTATTATCAATTTGTACTCTCAGATTGCTTGTCTATTTGATATACAGATTATGATAATTTATTTAATATTTTTTTATTTTTTTTGTTTTTTTTGAATTGACGAAAACTATTGATTACTTGAAAACTATTGATTTCTGAAGTACTCGGAAAATATTCGTTTGATTCCTCAACAACCACTTCTTGTATCAAAGGATCTGTTGAAGCATCTTTAAGAATCTCTCCTTGATCTAAATCCATGTTCATTATTTCTCGTTCTTCTCGATTTTTATACTTGTTTAATATTTTTTAAAAAATTATTAATATTACATTAACATTAATTATTCATTTTATTTTCATAATATAATTTTTCTTTCATAATTTAAAATATTAATGTCGTAATTGTTAGTTAGTTACAAAATAGTTTAATTTTTTTTGAATAATATAAAATTAATAAAAAGGTTTTTTAATTCATAAAAAATTAAAAATTTGAAACTTCATTTAAAAATTCATTTACATTCAAATTTTGAAATTATTTATTCAAGAATTTGATTTTGAAAATTTAAAAATTTTTAATTATAAATTGAAAAGTATTTTTTTTTATTTTTAATCTTCAATAAAATTTGAATTAAACGTACCATATATTTTTTAGATTTTCCTGCCATATCAAAAGCGAATTTAAAACTGTCTGTCCGCCATTCGATTTTAATAAAATTATTCTTTAATTCTAATGATGTTTTGTCATTTAAAGGAAAATAAAACGTCACATAAAGTGGTTCAATAAAACATTCAATTCCTAACATTATTATTTTATGCAAATCTCCTACAAAACATGGTATAAATAATGATTGTACGATTCCCTAAAAATAAGAAAAATTAAATTATATTTTTAAAAAATTAAATAAATATCGAACCTGTTTTATAGGTGTAATAATTATCTCCATTTTTTGGATATTTCCAGCCAATATTTCTCCTTTTTCAGGACATACGCAAAGTTTCATTTTTGTTGAATCTAAACCATTAGCTTCGCCCCATAAATAATTTAAGGGATTATTAGCGAGATTTCTTAACACTAAAACATAAGTTTCTTCTATGCCAATATATAAAGTCCTGTTATATGATATTAATAATAATTTCAATGATATGATATTTTTTATGAATATGAATTATTTTAAAATTTTATTTTATTTTAAATACATACCTTGTAGGTCTGATGACACCCATGCTTATTATTTTTTCTTGCCATAATGGTTCGAATTGTTTTAGGTTTATCAGGTCGAAATGAGAGAATAATTCATCATCTATCTGTAATATTATATAGATTCGTATAATTTTATAAAGATGAAAATGAATGAAAAATTAATAAAAATCTTACTAATTGAGATACTGATTTATATTCTTCTTTAAATTCTATTTCACTTATTTTTTCTTCTTTTTCTTTTTCTTCTTCTTCTTCTTCTTCATAATCTTGTTGAGAATATTTGTAATCCGGTTGTATTATGATATATTTTGATATTTCTTCAGTTTCTTGATCACTGAAATATAATTTTTATAATTAATAAATTATTTAATTTCAGATTTTTTTGTATACTACTATTATAAGAAAAAAATTCACTGTGATTACGGTTTTTGATAAATATTGCAGCAGTTTAATCAGAATTATATATTGTTGTGTTTACTTCATGTTAGAATATTTTTTCGGGAAGGCTTATATATGTTTATAATAAACGTATAACTGATACCATGAAAATCTTAAAAATTATAAATTAATTCAATGTTAAAATCAACGCACATTTCACTTTTATCATCCATCATGAATTGCAACCGAATTTCAATATCGGCAACCCAAATATCTACAGACTGACGACAAATATTTTTAAAAAAATTTTAATATTTTATTAATCGATATAAGTTGATGAAAAAAATTGGGAAATAATTTACTTTCTTGCATTTTCGCCGTTTCGTAGTGCACTTTTTAGTTGTTACTGTTATTTCACTTGGAATCGCATCGATCGGTATATCTTCCACATATAATCTAAAATAATTTCAATTATTTAAAATTACTTTCACTGTTAATGATATTATTACGTGTGATTATTTTTTTTTTTTTTATAATCACATAGACTCACTGTAGAACAGCAAAATAATAATTTGGCTGTAAATTTGTATATTCGGCGGTTACTGTGAAATAATGAATAGAAGTTGGTGCAAAAATTCCATGACTTGGTTCAATATGAAGAAGTTGTAATGGAAAATGATTCCCTTCGTTTATTTTATGATTTTTTGTTTGCACATTTCGTTTCTTCCAAGAAAAATACATGCTTATCTCACTGCGCGAAATAATTAAAATTTGTTATACTTTATCAATAGGTTAATAATAGAATTCTTTTTTTATTAAATTTATAATATGAAAAAAGTATACCTAATATTATTTATGGGAATAATGCATTGTCCAACACCATCAGGAGTATCAGTGCTCAAGTTTATATAATACCTCGAATTATTATCTACATCTTTTTTAGATGATTTTATTTTTTTCAAATGCTGCAATTTTACTTATTTTAATTATTATCCTCTGTTTATTATAAGTATATAATACTTTGTAATTTGTGTTTAATATCATGATTACGTGTAAAGAATTTTTAATTAAATTTATAGATACTTTACTAAGCTGGATGAAATTTGGTTCATATAATAATCCATCTCCGATTATTTCCGTTGTAATTAGGGTACAATTATTACATAATATATATATTTTTTCCACCTGTTAAAGTAAATATTAAAAAAAGTGGAAAGAATGAAATTAGAATATAATTATATTATATATATATATATATTAATATAGTATGATAGTGTATACTGTATGCATGTATATATTGATTATTTTTAATTTACATGAATGCCATAGTATTCTGGCGCAAATTTCATATGGAAAGTCATTTCTTCGTTTTTATTCAATAAAAAATATATTGGCCATATAGTAAAACAAGATAATTTCAAAATATTGTTGTCTATGATATTCTGTTAAAAAATACATAATGTATAAAAATATATAAAAAAATTAAATTAAACGAGTTAAATAAGAAATGATTTTACCATAATATTCATGGAGAACCAATTCATTTCGCTTATTATGAAAAAGCATCCACTTCCACCAATATTTTTCAATTTTATAGGTACATAAACTTCTTCTCCAATAAAACCTGTTTTGCAATCGAAATTCATGCTTATGAAATTATCGTTAATGTCACTTGTCAATGTCAATAGAGAGTCGGTCTTAACACTTGTAGTCTAAAAATTAAAATCATGATATGATAATTTTTTATTGTTTGAATACGCGACGAAAAGTTTCTTATGGTCATTTATTTTAATATTACATTTATATTATATTTTAATATTATGTATTTTTATTTTTTATATTTTTCTTGTTATAAAAATTAAAAAAAAAAAAAGACTAAAAACTAAGATAAAATAACATCAAAAAGAGAAAAAAAAAAATACTAAAAACAAAGTCATTTTTATTATAATTAATAGAATAACCATTTGTTGCCAATTGAAACCATAAGAAATCAAATATCAATTATAATAGTAGAATAATCGTATCATAATTATTATGTATCGTACATAAAATATATCTATACTATCGAATGATATTACATCTGACTGCCAGTCTTGAATAAAATCCATATTATAAAATTGAAAAGGTATCTCATCTGATTGATAAAATCCTATTGAAAAAAAAAAAAAAGAAATTTTATGTAATAAAACAGTAAAAAACACATTTCTGTTTTTACATTTCACTTTCTCATTTCATTATTTTTTTATAGATAAAATTTTGTACCAAGTAAATGGGGAGGATCTTTATATCCACACATTCGAATGATCAATGGACTTCCGTGTTGAACTTTTACTATCAATATTTCATCTGGTGTATCGATTTCGTCACAACGGAAGAAAATGATCAATTGTATTGTCAATCCCGGTGGAATGATATTTTTATTCTCGATCACGGGTTTTATCACAATCCAGAATTTAGAATGATATGGCTGTTTTCTTAAATAATATCTTACAGGGATATTATCAATATTTTTTATCGTAATTATTTTCTATTGTGCAAGAAAAAATGTCAATTATTAAAATATATTTTTTGCGATGACAAAAAAAAAAAAAAAAAAGAAGAATCGAAACCAACCTTATATACTTTCCTCAATTCGAAATTTTTAAATTCTACATAATTCGAGCTCGCCAATAAAACTTTTTCTTTTTTTAATTTTATTATACTTTTTTGGGGTTTTCTTTTTATAATTATTCGTGATATAAATTTCTTAATTCTGATGAGCAAAATTAAAAATTATGATTTTAAAAATAGAAAATTATAAAATTAAAAAATTTTTAAAGTAATAAATATTTGATGAATATACTCGTATTTGAAATGAATTTTTGATAAAGTTGAAACATCTATTACTGGTTGTTCAGGAATACATTTTACTTTTGGTCTTAATCGTGATGATTCTTCTACCAATTGTTTGTACATATCCCATGTTTTTAATTTTGGTACTTCCACTGTTAATTCGCTGGGATGAACTATTTCATCTAAAATATATATATTTCACAAAAAGATATAATTATAAAATAATTATATTTCTTCAATTTTAAACCTAGATCTTCTTCTTTTCCTTCTTCTTCATCAAAATCAATATCGACAGACTTTGGTTCATCGTATTTAGGCTCCTTTTGAACGTGTTGTTTTAATGTTTGTATTTGAACTGGACAAGCATCTTTTAATTACTTTTATAAGACTATAAAAATAATTCTTGTTCTTATTTCATTATTTTTATGTAATACTTTGAGTTCTTAAAAATATCAAGATAATACTAACATAGAGTAAAATATTTGATTTATGTTGTAGAAGTACATTTTTTTGAGCAGTTTTAACGAAGCTATACGACATTTTCCAATCATGACCCTTGGATTGCATCCTTTGAAGTCTTTTTTGAATAAATTGTGCATATTTATTTTTATCCATATTATTGGCCATGTTGATAAAACTTTCAGGATTCGTTTTCTAAATAAAAATTTGTAAACGAAATTTTTATTATCGTTAACAAATGAAATCACAATGGCATTGCATGCTATATCGTTTCAAACAAAACATAAGAAAATATATACATTGTGATTAAGAAATAATTGATCAAAACTTAATAATGAATAATTAAGAAAAAAATACATGGATTAATTTTAAGACTATGATTTATTTGGAAACAATTTTTTTTATATAAAGGTTTAGAGAATGAAGTTCTATGTACAAAAGGATTACATTAGTAAAATACTAGGATTTTATATTCCTGGCCATACTTCGTGCAAAATAGTTTCTTTTTATACTGAGATATAATTAATAATAGTTCTTGTTTCGTGCAGTTTTTTCTTTTTTATTTTATTGCGAGTCTTAGACTGCTTATAATTAAACGCTTGAATCTAGTTTAACCCTATATTAGATATTAAAATCCACGAAAACGTCTGATTTCGCTTGACGTGTCTGCGATTTAATCACAATAAGGTACACTTATTTATATTTATTATCCGTAATTCATGAATATAAAGAATTCATGTTTTTTCGTTTTAAATTTCATATACATATACATGTATGTATAATTGTTTGTTTAACACGCATAAATATTATATGCATTTTTTTTAAAATGTTTTTTTTCGTTTCTTCCACGTGTACTTATGACATTATAGATTACGCTTTGTACAATCTAATAATACAAACAAGCGAAAAAGATCTCACAGATACTTAATGTTGTCATGTAATGTCTACAACATATTATATCGCGTGTACAATAAATCCATCAATTTTTACATAAATCTCTTCGTCTTAACATATAAAAAATTAATACACCTTTCTTTCTCAAAAGCATATGTTTCATAAAAGCGGTCATTGTATTATAAGCATTGTAGAAAATAAATCTTCGATTAATTGTACGTATAACTATCGAACAACCTGGAAAGGAATGGGAACTTGATAATAATGAGACGCGCGTGATGTTCCATTAAACAACACTGTATTTTTCGTTCTTTTCTTTTTTTTTTTTCTTTTCTCGTCAAAGCTTTATAGGTTTAAAAGTTATGTGTTTATTCTTTTTTATAAGAGTGCACTTATTTTAATCTATCAAGAATAAGCATACAGTCCATGAAACGCAAAAAGAAAATTTTAAAAAGAGAAAGAATAAGATAAAAAGAAATATTTTCTTGTGCTCGCGTAAGTTAATTTATAATAATATCAAGTTTATTAAATTTGTATTAATCTTCAACATTATTTGAACTACAAATCAAAGGAAATTATTAGATTTATGTTAATCATTTACGAAGATATTAGAACAGAGTCAAACTAGGTTCAAGCTTTAAAAACTCATCGCGATAGGAGTAATTTAATTTTCGATTTTTTTCTTCCTTCTTTTTTTTTTTCTTTTCTTTTCTTTTTCTTTTTCTTTTTTTTTTTTTCTTTTTTAATAATAATATTTACACTCTTAAGTGCCAATTTGTTTTTTTGATAACTGGTACACTCCTCACGACGCTTCTAGAACTTGATTAAATATATTGCGCTATATAAGCTTGGACTTTGTATGCGGGGAATAAAGGTCTTTATTAAAAGCCTGTTATTGTATTGTGTGGAAAATATAAAACCCCAGATATTATACTTCACTATCCTACAAATACAATGCTTAGTTCAAACGTATAATGGTATTGTTTTTATTGAAGATGCAATATGTTTCCTTTCGCATTTTTTCGTTTTTTCTTTCTTCGCATTTATAAATTAAACAAATAAAAATTAAAATTCCGGCGGATTTAGGACACTGAAACATGAATTTCTAAAACATAATTATTTATCCATTAATCTAAATTCTAGATTTCTGTATTTTCGATCCTGTTATTTTTTTCTTTTTTTCTTTTTTCTTTTTTTTTTTTTTTATTAGTACACCAGCTATGTGTTTATTTCTTTCTTTTTCTCATTTTATCTATTTTAGCTGGAAAAATTGTAAATAATTTTGTCCATCGCAACTGTACGAAGTGAACGTTCTTACATATATACAACCCACGATCACCCCTTAAGCGTACAACTTCCATTGAAAAATGTATATTCGATGCATCATCGTTTATTCATTCCATATGATATTAATATTAAATGTCTCTTCACTTGCCGAGTCCAAGTGCAGCATATTGTTCTTCCGTCACTTCTGTCATCATCAGGTTTCCATCAGGTAAGAGTAAAACTACTCTTCTGGTACCACCTAATATAATAACACAATGAAATGAATATTAATTCAATATTCAATTTTTTCTTTTTTTCTACTATATCAATCTTTTTTTTTTTTTTGATGCATCCATTTAAATAAAATGAATAATTAAAATTTAGTATATTACCTGGAGTAGGTTCTTCTGCTTGTACGACTTGAGCTACAACTTGGCCATGACCATCACCGTCTTCTTGTCCCTCTGCCACATCTGCTGTATTTGTGTTGTCCATAATAGACATTACCATTGGGTTTTCGGTAGGTTCCGCTCCACCTTCCTTCACATAGAACTGTGAAGCTAGGTTTACTTGATCAGGTATTAACTGAGCTACAGCTTCTGCTACAGCATGGTCCAACGTTAATACGGATCCATCATCTCCTTGTTGTTCCGTGGTAACATATACGCATTGTTGTTCGCCATCAGCGTCTCGAGTCACCAATAACGTTTGACCATCTTCAGCTTGGCCAGCCACTTGGTAAACAACACCATCCTCCCCGGTTATTGTTACTAAATTCGATGTATCCTCAGCTACCTTCCTCTCTTCCGATATTTTCTCTTCAGCTTTAGTTACATCAGTAGAAGCTATTGCTATTGTGCTAGTCGAGGTAACTGTAGCTGTAGTTAATCCCGCTGCAATAGAGGATTCACTGGCTGAGGTTGCTTCTGTCAATGGTGTTGCTGTGGTTGTAGTTGGCGTAGTGACAGCAGGAGCTGTATCATCCAAGCAAGGAAGATCCGGTGCAGGAACGGATACATTTGTCAAATTGATCTGCGCTGATTCACTGGTTTGAACAATTGTACCTGTTGTTCCACCGGGACTCATTTCGACTCTCATTATTCCACCACCTTCTGTAAGAGAATCAAGGGAAGGTAGAACTAATTCCGTGGTGGTAGTTGCAGCGGTGACGTCTATACTCTCTGATGTAGTTGTATTTGTTTTAATAGTAGACAATGGTGCTCCAGTAGGTTCAGGTTCAGGCTCTGGTTCGGCTGGTTGTTCAACAGGTTCACCATCTGGCCCAATAATGCGTCCCGTCAATGGACAGAGAGTGAACGGCCTAGGAGGACTGTCAGGTTCCGTAGTAGCAATGGTATCGGCTTCGGGAGGTGGAAGTTCTGGTTCACCCTCGCTGCTACTTTCTTCGGAGCCTACTTCGTGGAATTCCATGTGAAGTCCATCACCTTCCGCCAATTTACTTTCTTTCAGTTTATTTCCTGGAGTGGTCGCTGCTGGTGTTTCAGCCAATTTCCCTCTACCTCGGCCGGCAGTAGCACGAGCAGCTGCTAGGAGGCCACGGCCACCTGGTTTAACGATACCCGCTGCTTCTTGAGCTTTCCTTTTTGCCATTAATAATTTTTGCTGCGGAGATAATAATGACTGTGGCTTACCAACTGGTGTTTTCGGCGACTGTTTAGCCTGTTGCACTGGACTAGTTCCAGACTTTACCACTTGCTTTGGCTGTGGACTAAGCACCGTAAACTTCGGTCTAATCTGAGTAACATTTCCAGGACTCACCGAGTTACTTTGCGTAGTTACAGCTGTCGTACGTTTTTGTAGCACCTGACGCGTTTGCTGGGACTGAACTTGTCTCGGGGCTGGTGCCCTAACAGGTGTGCGAATTGTTGATCCAATTCCAAGTACGCTAGTTGGTGTCGTCGCACGCAGTGGAGGTCTCGGTAACAAAGGACGACCGTCCGCACTGCGTTGGCCTGTAACAGGTCCAGGACGTATTCCTGTACTTATTCTTGGTTGCAAAGTTATGGGAGCCGGCACCGCGGTCACGACATGTATCTGCGGTAACTGTGTCGGATCTGGTTTCGGCTGGATCTTTATAGGCTCTGTTTTCTGTGTACCTCCTGCTTTACTCGTAACAGGTTTAGAAACTACTTTCATCTGGGTTACTACTTGACTTCCATCCATTTTAGAAACCACTTTTACCGGTGTAACAGAATTCGATTGTGATGCGGATATTACTTGCTTCCTCACTACATTAGTATTATCTCGATTTTGAACCATCAAAACACCTTGTGTAGTCGGCGAACCTTTTACAGCCAATTTTCCGCTAGGGGACGAATCCAACTTGATGATGCCATCTTTCCGTGACATTACGTACACGCCGGATGTTAAGTTTGGCATTTGCTTTGGATCAACTTTAACGACTCCTTTGGCATTCGCGACTAAAACCGGTGGTTGGTTAGATTTTGCTCCTTCGGGAGATTGAAGTCCCAATGAAGTCGCAAGATCTGAAGACGAACCACTTGCTCTGTTAGACCCGTTCGATTGAGCATTGGCACGATTAAATGCGCGTTGAATCACATCGCTTCGACCCAACAATTTTTCCTCGTCGGACTCTCCAGTCCAGTCTTCATCACTACCTGTGTCGCCTTTCGCTCGTTTAGCAGCGCTACTGCCTCCATCCTCAGAATCGCTCTCGGAATAATCCATTCTCCTTTTCCCTAGTACTAAACAAATGTATATATCTTGATATTTTTGTTATGTTCGTAATAAATATAAATTTTAAGAAAAATTACAAAAACTAATTTAAACCATATCATAAAACTATACATACGGTCATTATCTTCATCTTTCATTGAACCGCACCATTGCTTCACTTGATCCATTGCTTTTGATTTACTTGAACGCATGGGTCGTCTACATACACAAGATTTATTACTTAAGGCAGTATTCTATTGAATGTACAATATATGCTAACAATTTTATAAAATTTTAGGCAAAATATAATTGCCTTACCCTACTTGAGCTGCAGTACTTGGTCCAGGTTTAGCTTCTGTTTTTATAATTGTTTTTTGAGCAGGATTACCACCCCGGCCTGCTGCTTTTGCATTTGCCTGTTGCTGAGCTGCTTTCAATTCTTTTTGCTTAGCAAGATTTCTTTCAAATTCTTCTAATAAATGTTTACATGTGGCTACATTCTCAGCAGGTTCCCATCTATTATGTTCGCTGTAATTATTTGTATTTTTTTATTGTAAATATTTATATTTTTAATATCTTTTTTTATAATTTTCTAATATCTTTTTCATTATAATTTTTTTATAATTAATTTCTTTAATATAATTTATAAATTATTAATTCTTTTATTCCAAAATATTTTATAAATTATACTTACTGTCCAAGACCCTCCCATTTTAGTAAATATTCTGAACATCTTTTTTTCGGATTAAATCGTTTTGCTAATATCTTTTCTACTGTATATTCTTCATCACTTGAATCTCTATCTTCATCACCAGCTTTATTAGATTTAGCCTATAATATTGCAATAAATTGTAAGTCTTTAAATGATAAAATAATCATGTAAGAAAACTAACCTTAAGTTTTATTGTAGGTTTCAATTTTGGTTTTTCTTTTTTTTCTACTTCATCAAAAGATTCATTACTTTTTTGATTCTTTGCTTCTGAAATTTTACTATCTTTTTTACTATCATCTTCTGGTTGTCCGTTCCTAATTACTTTGCGAACAACTACTGGTTTTCCTGTAAGAATACAGAATAACTTTAGAACACTGTTTATTTAATAAGAATAAAATAAAAAATTGTTTGCAAAAAAGCCACCTTCTGCATTAGAACTTATTTGATTCTGTCTTGGTACATCTTGCATTTTTGCATTACTAATTTTTGTAAATGTTTGAATGGTTTTCCCAGCTGCAATCCAGGAATCCCTTATGTGCGTATCCATTTTACACCATTTTTGATATAACTTCCATGAGTTTGTTGAGTCTCTATCTGAACCCTCTTGTTGGATTTGGGAATCTTTCCATAAAAGAAAAGCCCAAACTTGTGCTTTTTGTTCATTCTATAGTAATAATAATATTATAAAATAATTATATTGAAATATTAATATTATTTCTTAATTGTATAATTATTTAATATATTTGGAGAATTAAAATTATGAGATGTTACTAACATTACTATTTTCACGAAAATGTGAAATTTGGGTACAAGCGCCTTCTTTTGTACGATGTTCTTGAAATTCTTCAATAAAATGAAAAACTGAATGGCACTGTCCACACACAAGAACATCTAACCTTCCCATCTCTTCTTGTGCAGCTAATGATATAATAAAATTTATTATTTTTTTAATTTTAATCTATAACTACTACATATAATATATTTAAATAAAAAATTTTTTTATATTTATAGAAGAATTAAGACTAAGAACTAAAATTGGCCAATTCTCATTGTGTTAAAATATTCACTTTTAAAATTCTTATTAATGACTATTAATTTTTTTATTGTTATAAATTATCTATAATAAAAATGTTTTGAATTTATATAATAAATTCATTAATTCATTAAAGTAAATTAAAAGTTATTTTATTTAATATTTTATTTTATAATTAAAATTATTTAATTATATCATTATATTTTATTTTTTAAATGAATTTAATATTTAATATTTATACATATAATATAATATTTATATATATGTTTACAGAAATAGAATAAATAAAAATTGATTATTTACATGGGATAAAATCAATGAAAAATCATAAATATTACCTTTAATAGCAGTAGGATTACTACTGATGGCCGAAGGGCCATCGCCACCCTCCATTTTGTTTAATAAAGTATTTGGATCTCTATCCACAATGTTTCTTTCTATAAAAAGAATATAATTCTTTTTATTATTTATCATAGAAAATTTATATATATATTTTATTATATACATAATATTGTATATTATTTATAATATGTATATAATAATTATATTAAGTATATAATATAATAAAACAAGTAATTAAAGATTTATATAAATATATTCTGCTTATTTTTTAAAAATTATATTACAAATTTTAAATTCATTATTCAATCATATATTTAATAAAATATTGAGCATGTTTTATTTTAAATAAATTATAATTCATTATTATTAAAATTAATTTAATTAGTTTAAAATTTTTAACTAATTAAATTATTTAGACTCATTAAGGAAATTAAAATTAATTACTTCAACATTTATGATATTAGTAATTTTATATACAATAAATTTATATAAAATTTTTAATTTATATTAATTAAAAAATGCATGAATGAATCTTTTCAAATTAATTTTTGAAGAGTTTATTACTGTAACTTTAATGAAAAAATATTCTTTTTTTTAAATAAATAACCTAAAGATGCTTTCATATTTCATTTGTAATATACGGAATTAAAAAGGGAAAAAAAATCGTAACATTCGGAGTTCGAAGTTTCGCGGGCGTCAGAAAAATTTACACGCAACATGCCGGTGGAAATCGAACTGCGAACATTTTTTAACAAGACACCACTGTCGTTGTTACGGTAATTCAAAGGATCACTCCATACATACTGCTGTCATTGATAATTTTGTAAATCGTCTATGATTTCAAGCATTCTCATGGGATATTTTTTGCAGAACCTTTTATTTAAATTAAATGAATTCCCGCATAAATGGTAAGACGTCGAGACACACAGCATGGAGTCATTGTAAACGCGGCCAGTGGCGTAAGTTACCAACGAATAAAACTCACAGATAATTCGATCTTGAAATAATAACCGGTTCACCGTGAAAGATCGTTACCGATAAATGCAGCTATTCTAATTGCAGATAACAGGGGTGTTTAGAATTTACAGAAACATTTAGAAACGATGCCATTGCCGCTGCCGCCGCCGCCACAGACTCGTCCTCTGTCTATCATGAGCAAGCCGATGCTCGTCAAGATGGCTCTCGTCACGAAAACTCTCTTCGACTATTCACTTCCTGTCTATCCATGAATATTTTTCGAACACACTTGTCCGTTACCGATTTCAACGCGATCGACTTTCAAACTAATAATATCGACTTACACCTGCTAAACCGTAGAAAAATCAGATTTCCTTGATCTGGATAATTGCTGTTGCCGCACGAGATGGGATGAAAACAGTGATCGCGTCTGACGACAGTAGCGCCATGGCGCCTGCCCGCCACGGCAACAGCTTACCTTTTGGCGGAAAATGTTATTCATTAATTCTATTTTATCTCCTTTTGATTGAGATACTTCTTCTATAAGATTGTATTTTATGCTTGAAATATTATAGCTGAGAAAAATTATTAAAAAAAATAAAAATTTATTTTTTGAAAAAAGATATAATTGTAAATGCTTTAATATCTATTTCAAATGTACCGCTTTTCTACATGAAATTTATCTATGTTCCGGCATTGGATCGAGTTTAGAAAAGGAAAGTTTATGTTAATTGATGTCAAGAAAATTTCGAAAATATTTGTTAGTTATTATTCATAGATTTATAAATTTTATATCATTAATTGTATTTACTTTGATTGTTTCTTTATTTTGATATATTTAAGCTTTATCTTTATGCTTAATATGTTTATTCTAATTTATGAAGAAAAATTTAAAGTAAATAAATGCTTACGTTAACCGAATAGCGTGTAAAAGTTGTATACATATTTTCATATGAGTTTATTAGATATTTTCAAGAATTTATTTCTTTTTTATTTACAATTTTATATTATTAATATTTCAAAAATACAATAAAATTTACACATTAAGTTTTTCAATCATAATATTAATACGTCATTTCTAATATAGTAATAATATAAACAACATTAACCTTATTTTTTCAACTTTGAATAAAATTACGTAAAATAAGTATTGTTTTAAATTCTTAAAAAAGTTTGAATATATAATTTATTAATTAAGCGAATTAAATGTTTAATTGCAGCATTTATTTCTGAATTAAAAAATGGCTGATGAAGAAGAAGAGAAAGAATATAGATGGGAGACTGGTTATGAAAAGACATGGTATATATTAATATTTTTTAAATTATTTTAATAAATTAAGTTATAAATTATACAATTATTGTATATAAATAATTTTTACAAAGGGAAGCTATCAAAGAAGATGATCATGGATTATTGGAAGCATCAGTTGCAGATATTATTCACAATGTTAAAAGAAAGCGTCAGATGGAAAAAAAGGTTGGTGCTAGATTAGGAATGATGAGGCATATTTATGTAATTCTTGATGCTTCAGAATCAATGTCTATTCAAGATTTAAAACCAACTCGTTTTTTATGTTCATTAAAGGTGCTTATTAATACATAATATATAATTATTTATTTTATTGAATTTTTACTTACAAATATAACTTAATTTAAGCTTTTAGAAGATTTTATTGAAGAATTTTTTTATCAAAATCCTATTAGTCAGTTAGGAGTAATTATCACAAGGAATAAAAGAGCAGAAAAAGTTAGTGAATTAACTGGAAATTCTAAAAAACATATTAAGGTAAATTTTCGTGAAATAATATTCTTATTTAAAATTCATTTATTTTGTTTTATAAGTTTTTATTCATTTGTAGGAAGTACAAAGTATGCAACAAATTACTCCAGCAGGTGAACCTTCATTACAAAATTCTATAGAACTAGCTTTAAAATCATTACGTCTTCTACCATCACATGCTAGCAAAGAAATACTTATAATAGTGGGAGCACTTACAACATGTGATCCAGGAGATATCAATGAAACTATTAAAGTATATATTAATATATATTTTATTACTATTAATATAATAATATATATATTAAAATAATTATATCGTAATATAATTAATTTTGATTACAGAATATGAAATCAGATTCCGTCAGGTGTAGTGTGATAGGATTGGCTGCTGAATTATATATTTGTAAAAGAATGGCTACAGCAACTGGTGGAGAGCATGGTGTTGCACTAGATGATAAACATTACAAAGAACAATTAAATATGCATATAGATCCACCACCAGCTGCTACTAGATTAGATGCTGCTCTTGTAAAAATGGGTTTTCCTCATCATGCATTACATTCTTCTACAAATGATTCAGCTATGGCAGTTTGCATGTGGTAAGTTATTTTTAAACAATAGTTTTTAAATAATAGTTCATAAATAAAGAAGCAAGAAAATATTTTTTTTTTACAGTCATGCAGAAAGTTCAGATGAATCTGTTAAACTTCTTAGTACAGGATATCTCTGTCCTCAATGTCTCAGCAAACATTGTGAACTTCCAGTAGAATGTAGAGCATGTGGATTAACTTTGGTATCTGCTCCACATTTAGCACGATCTTATCATTATTTATTTCCTGTTGAACCTTTCAAAGAAGTTGAATATAGGAAAGAAGTTACATTTGAGCATCCTTCAATTTGTTATGGTTGTCAAAAAATATTTTCACAAAAAGATAAAAAGGTATGATTAATGGAATTTAATAAGAAAAGCATGCGAATTTAATTTGCAAAATGTGTAAATTAAAAATATATTAAAATATATTTTTTTCCAGGTGTATATTTGCAATAAATGTAATCAAACATTTTGTTTAGATTGTGAAATATTTATTCATGAATCTTTACATACATGTCCAGGCTGTGCTACTAATCCTGATACATATCAAAAACCCACAGATAGAATTTAATTTATTTAATGTATGTAAAATAAAATTAATAATTTTAATAATTTTTATTTAATAATTTATTTTAAACGAAATAGAAAATATTATAACTTAGGCCAGTTTTATATATGAAGAATTTTTATATTGTGGAATTGATGATACATATAAAAAATATTGTCTCTTATTAAAGAGAAATGGATCAATGAAAAGACAATAATAATGATAATAAATATTTCTTTTTCATAATAACCTGTTAAATATTTACATAATAAAGAATTATTTTTGCAATTCATGTAAATATAATAAATATATTTATATAAATAAATTAAACAACTGTTCTAATCAAAATATATATATATATATATATCTATATTCATAATATTTTTAATAATAAATTACAATAATTATTACAAATTATAAATCTATTACTAATATAGTTTATTACTTAATTAACAAATTTTTACAACGTAAACAAAGAACGATTTAATTAAAATTAAAAAAAAACTCAAGTTAAAAGATAGAGTTTCTTTGTATACAATTTTTCTTTTAAAATTTGAGAAATCCGAAATCTGCGACCGGTAATGTAGTTACTTTAAGAGTAGCTTTTAGTGGGGGGTAATCGTGGTTTATTAGTAAGCGGACAGGTGGAAACGAACATCATGATATTAGAGCACATTATTAGTTTGCGACCGTCCTCCGGCGCGACCGGTTTCACAGTGTCGACCCACTTCCGATTCAATTACATATATTTATCTTACCCGGTCAAAGTGACTTTATATGTGAGAAATTTTCTACACATCTAGTTTCCTTCTCAATACGATCTTCGAGATCAGGTAAGAATAATTTTTTTTTTTGCAAATGCAACAAATATTCATTTATTATTTTTTTTTAATAAATTTTATATTAATATATACGTATAATGTATATATAAATATTAGTATATATTTAAAATCTACTTTTTATTGTCTTGCGATTTGTATAATTCTTCAATTATAAGACATTCTATAATTACAAGTATTATTACAAATACTTATTTCAAATATTTTTATTTCATATTATTCATTTGCATTTAAGAATTTAATAATTTTTTTTTATTTCTTTTTTATTTTTATAATTTTTTTAACGTTTAATATGACCTAATGTTCTAATAAAGATAAACATGGACACGTGTTTGAAAAGTAATTAAGTATTTTTACATCGTAAAATACAACACAAATAAAAGATAAAAATGTGTAATTATTGTCTTTTACAATATTACTTATATTTATATTTTTTTTTTCTTTTTGTGTGAAGAGAACATTATAAGTAATCAACACAACAAATTAATTTTCACTTACGTTTATTTAACTTATTTATTTTAGAATTTTTTTCCTTGCAACATTTCTGAATGAAAATTTTATCATATCTTATTTTACATTTTATAAGAAAAGAGAAAATTACAGTTTAGCGATAAATGATACATTTAAATATAAATTTAAAAAATATATTTTTGAATGTTATTTTATTTTAATTTAAATTTTTTATAATACAAAATAACAGAAATATGTTATATATTTAATAATATTTAAAAAATTAATTTAGCTACTTAAATGAATTGGAACTATTTAATTAAAATTAATTTTAGAATAATATAAATATATTATTATAGTTTGAACTAAATGATTTGTTCAAATTGAAATATTATATCATGAATTATATTTATTTTTATTAAAAAAAGTCATTATTAATATATTGTAAATAGTTAAATTATATTTAATCGAATTATTTGAATTTTTTAAATTAATTAATATTTTTTAACAATATTATTCAAATAATAAATTACATCATCGGTTAATTTATAAAATTTTATAAAAATACAATTACAAAAAATCTGATTTTTATTCAATTTTATTTGATTAATGATTTGTAATGTGTTTTTCTTTAATTCATAATCATAGATTTTTCGCAGATTTTTTTCTAAATTTACTAAGTAAAACGATATAATAAAGAGAAAATAAAATATAAAATATATTTTGTAAATTTTTTATTCTAACTTTTTTCATTTTAATCATCATTCATTTTAATGCAATCAATTTATTTTTTAAGATATTATTTATTTACTTATTATCCATCAATCAAACTTAAGATTAAATTATTTTAGATTAGATTATTTTAAATTAAATTAAATTAATGTCTTAAAATTAAATTATCTATAAAAAATTAGAATTGTATTATAATATATGTATGTAATTCGTATGCATATAGTGTTTGCCATGCGTGATTTTCTTTTCTATATGTATGAATAAGGAAGAACTCCTTTCTCTTTTATTAGTATTTTCAATTCGTGTAGCAATGTGTAATATTCGATACTACATCTAAGGATATATATCCATTGAAAGGAATTTTGCAAGAGGTTAGCATTGAGAAATATCATTCCAATGGTTTTTTTCTTAGCATTACATAATGCTAACAATTTTCTTTCAAGAAAAGAATTATTTCTAACATACTTATCCGTAATTAATTGCAAGATTTGAAATATTATCGTTTCTTTTTTTCACCATATCCAGTTCACATTCAAATTTTTATATGTTTTTTGTTACATCGATATTGTTTTCTATCATTATAATGATTAAAATGAAAATATTCCTGACTAGGATTTTAATATTGTTAGCTTGTTTTAAGGATCACGACGTGTAGAAATCGAACATACATAATTTGTATCCGATATAGATGTGTACATATAACGTAGCTTTGCCAAAGATATACAAACAGTTCATACACAAACAGTTCATACACAAAGAATCGTCATCTAAATTGTTGATTAATCGATGTCACTTGTCTATGATTGTGTATTTGAATTGTCCGTGTTATTTAAATGTTACATTTCCACTGTGCATTTCTTTAATAAAAATCTTCAATATTATGTTTGTATAAGAAATACTCCGTCGAGGCATTCAATGGACATAAATTTGTTTTGCTTGTTGAGTTTTATAAAAATTAATATTATAAAACTCAATAATCAGGATTCAGCCAGATTTAATTAACGAAATTTTAGTGATGTTATTTTTAAAAAGATGTTTTTCAATCCGTGATCCGCCACACACATATTTTTTACTTTTTTCCTTTACTTTGCATTATCTCTATTTCTTTCCTTTTTTTTTTTTTTTCCTTTTCAAAATTCTGAAGATTTTTTTATCGTATCTCATTATAAAATCATAGTCTTTAACAATTCTATTATTATTATTTATCAATGATCGCGATTCAATCTGCGATTAAGATCCCTCGACCTTACATGGTGTCAGGCTTGATTGGTGAAATTGTTAAATGGCTCGCATATGATTTGTAAATAAAGACATTACACTGAGGGGGATCGTGTAATGGGGACATGATGCCACGATGCCTTGCCTTAATTAGACTGTAACCTTGTCACATTGAATCGACTATACATTTGTTTATGGATCCTAGTTATGCCAATATCACCTGAGACCCGCAAATTTTAATACATATATACAAAGAGTGTCTTGTAACTGATAATACAAACAGATAGATGAATTTAAAAAAAAAATAAATCGAAAATATAGAATTCATTTCTTCATTGTTTTGATAAAACAAGTTCGAAAAAATTCCAAGCACAATTAAATTGGCTATTTCCAGATAGGCAGTTATTCTATATGTGAAAATAAATAAAAAATGTAATAATAAAAATTAGTTTTCAAAAAAAGAAAAACAAAGACTTAAGACATAAAAATTTTATTCTTTTCTTCATTTTCATGTATAGAGTAATCATTTATTATATAATTCATTGTATTATCTAATTAGGAATTATCCAATTTTAATTACATTTAAAAACTTTTGTATTCGAAAATAAAGTCATAAGTAAAAAAATTTTATCCCATTATTATTTTCGATTTATTTTTTAATCATTATCCAATTGTATTACCAATTACAACACAGCCCGTATATCATGAAATTCACAGATGAAACTAATCGATATCGTATAATGTTTGTTTGAATAATGTTTTATACATGTCAACATGCATCATGATAAAATGATAATGATTCGAAGAATATTTCTAGGAAGAAAAAAATAGAACATAGATATATCGAAATACTTGACGAAATTTATCTTATAATCTATAATGATTCTGTAAAAATCATCCATCTGCTGTGCAGGATTCTTGCCAGCATGATATCTCGATTACTTTTGACGTTATCTGAAATATCAATAAAACGATATTAAACAATTTTCTGTTTTTGAGATAATTTAAGAACTTTTATCTTTATGAAAATCTTCAATGTTGTTAATAAAAATTAAGCAATCGGTTAAAAATTTACAATATTATTTATTACGATATTAATCCATGTTTGATATTTATCTTATTCATTAGAAATAAAATTTTATATTTCAAAACAGGTTATTATAAACGATCAACAGATTCTCTTCAATATTTATATTTACAAATTCAAAAAATATATTATATTTGTCATAATTATATCTCATATCATTATGGAGAAGTGTTAATAATCAAACAACATTGTTCTCATAGTTACCAGCATACGTGTTATAAATATAGTAAACAAAATTACAACTGTTAGCTGGGAAAATTCTAAAACAATGAAAGATAAAAAAATAGAAATCAAGATGTTCCTTGTAAATACATAACAACGAGAGGACGTTCCTCTCTTTTTTTTTAAATTACCAATCACGATCATCGTTTAAAGAGATCAAGGTGATTCACAAACATATAAATGATCAAAGAACCTTGGGAACTCCTAAAAAATTTATATGTATATTTATGTATAACAGTACTTTAATCGTTTATACATTTTCATTACTAGAGAAAAAAATGCTAGTTTATGCATGTTTATGTTATACACGAAACGAATTCTTATTGGTATGTAATTCTTAAAATATTTCAAAATATATAGACAATATAATAATGTAATAATATGAAAAAATCGTATATTGAAAATTTCTAGTAATTTACGTAATGCATATATGTATTAATTTTATATCATGTTATGAAATGTTACTATAATAGTATAAGTTGTTTCGTTATTTTTCATAAAATAGTTTTTTCGAAATAAATATTTTTTTAAGATTATTAAAAATATTAAAACATCAGATAATGTTACAAATTGATTAAAATAAATCAAACTAATAAATTAATGATATATCTCGTAATATTTCCACAAGATATAAATTTTTCGTTGTTTCTGTTCGTAATATACTTTGCTATGTAAACGTTATTTTGTTTCTATCTTTCAAATATATAAAGACTGTTGAAAGCAATTTTCGTTGCATGGTCACTCGCAGAAACATGGTTATGCAAAGATATAATGGCATTGACTGCGTAGCGTATAAATAACGTCTAAACGATGTATGTAATGAAATTTTCAAATGATAAAGAATGAAATAAATTATATCGGTAATAAAATATTGAAACTTAATCACCATTAAAATTAAGATATTGATTATCATCATCATCAATTAACATTCGATTATTATCTATACTACTGCAATCATTGTGAACAGTGATAAACCATGAATATTGTTGCAAATTCATTCATTGACGCGTCAACTTCAATTCTAACTAGTAAACTAGATAATTTTTTCAATTTGGCGGTATTTTAAAAATTATAAATCATTATTTTTTATAATGATAGTGGTAATTATTAGTGATTATATAACATAATTGCAATTATTTCGCGTTAAAATTTATAAATATATATTTAATACATATTTCAGTTAAATATTCATATTTATTTCAAAAAAGGAATAAATATATATATCAACTATAAAATAAAATATAAAATATGTTATTTTCATATTATTACCTTTACCATTTATTTCATAAATATAATTATAATATAATTATAATATTGATCTATATATCTATCATTTCGATATTTTTTAAATTTGCTGTCAATAAGCTGTTAATCGATGGATTATATAATAATAAAAAAAAAATTTATCTAATCTATATGCATAATATATAATGTTCTTTCAATGTTATTCCAAATTTAATTTCAAATTAATATTCTATTTTTCTGCAATAACAAACCCTATTTAATGAAATAATATACATTTGTTTTGTTTATTTTTACTTATTTATCTAGTATAAAAAAAATTCATATTTTACCAGAAAAAAATGTATGAATGTTTTGCGTAAACACATAGTAAAACATAAAACATAAAAAATAATATTTTCATTATATATATGTTTTATTTATACTTTGTACGTACTATTTTTTATTTATAACTTGAAAAATACGACTTGGCATTGATTCATATAATCTGCCTAGATAAAATTATGATATTTTTTTCTACTTAGCTTCTATAGCACTTACAAAACCTTGCTAGTAAAAAGATTGATAATTATTTATTTAAATTTGTCTTGATAGATATTTTCAAATATTTTCAATGACATTCAAATCTGATTACAATGCCAGCCAATTTATATTTTATTTCCTGTTTTTTATATTAATAATTAATTAATTTTATCATATTAAGAATTCAATTAATTTGATTATATCGTTAATAATAGCCGGTATTATCGTGTTGAAATATCTAATTGTTATGCTTCATTATTTTCTTTATTTTTGCTGATTTTCAATATCTTAAGATATTTTTTGGTATCTTATCTTTTATAATTTATAAATCGATAACTCCATTGGAATTTAGGGCATCCCAAATCATTAAGTATGTTTCTTCTCCATGTTGTGATAAAATTATTTTTTTTTCTCTTTTCTCAAATCAATGATAAAATAATATTATTTAAGTTATTTCTTTTCATAATTAAAAACGGCTATTTTCTATTCAAATATCTAATTATTGTCATATGATTTCTTACAAATTCAAGCTTAGCTTTATGATGATTTTTCGAGCATAGTGATTTTTGTTTTAACATTTTTCTTTTATAATATTACACGTTTCTGTTTTTTAATCGTTTTATAATCCGCATAGAAGTTTACTTATTCGGAAATTTGTTTTCAATTGTTGTTTTGAATAAAATTCAAATTCCGAAACTATTCGAAGAATTGACTTCTTATACTTAAACGATAAAAGTCTCTTTAACTTTATTTTTTAAAATAATTTATCATAATTTTTTTAATTTTTTAAATAAGGATGAAAACTCTATTTAAACTTTTTTCTATTTAAATATCCTTTTTTTTTTAGTTCTTTAGTTTTAAATTAAATTTCTTATTTTTATTTTTTCTTTATACACAATAAAAAAAAGCACACGTGTATAATTAGACAAAAATAGCAAAAAAAGTGAAATGTGTCAAGTTAAAAACTTTCAACATTTTTTTTTACGAAACATAAATATTTTTATCAAATAAGTAGTTGCCTATTACATACAAATATTATATACAAATATATAAAGTAGAAAAATAGAATATATTAATTTGAGATCAAGTCTCAAATAAAGAATATTATAGAAAAACGTTCATGCATTTAATCAATTATCGCAGATTATATTATTTATATCTTATAAAATTATTTAATTATTATAAAACTCAGATTTATTAATAGAGACTTACATTTAAATAATTTCGTCTTAATAATTTTAAATTAATTAATAATTTTGTTATCAATTAATTTTTTAAAAAAGAAGAGATTAAATTAAAAGAACTAAACAATACTATATAATTAGAAAAGATACGAATCTTTATCATTACCTTCTTTATCTTTATCATTAAAAAATAATAATGGATTTTAATTACAAAAATCGATCAATTTATCTCATGTTATATATATGTAACGATTAATACGATATTATAATCTTTGCTTTTTATTCATAATAAAATGGAAATATTTTTATTATTACCTTATATATATTACAAGATAAAGAAAAAAATAACAACTGTTTTAATTAATAAATATTTGTTTAATGAAACAATGGTTTCGTATCATTCATAGCATTAATTGAAAAGATATCTAATTAAGCAACCAGTAATTATTAAATATTATTATATTATATTTTTACCTTTATAAAATAATAATCACCGTTATATTATAATTTCTTATTTAAATATAAAATAATCCACGGTATTAATGGAAAATTCGATTTTTTATTTTACTTTGCAAATATTTTTGCAGAAATATTTTTCTATTTCAGATGTGGAATCCGGAATTTACTTGGAATTTACGCAACAGTTTTTTTCGCGGTCAAAGAATATCTCTAAGTACAATATTTTAAACGCTAATGCTATATTATTATTTATAATTATTTGAATGACTTTGGAAATTTAAAATTACCACTTAAAACATAAGGAAAACATATTCAAATTTATCATCCCTCGTTACATGTAAAACAAATTTTCATCGAGTAACGTAAAGTTGAGAATGAAAAAAAAAATGGAAGAAAAATAATGATATATTGAATTTCAGGTAAAAGAAAAATAAACATAAGTAAAAAGGCTTGGCGATATGGCCAGCCGATTGTGGAAGGCGTTGTCCCGAAGACGGATAGATGAAAATCTTGAGGATAAAAGCGAACTAGCTCGAGTTTTAGGCTTATTCGATCTCACAGCACTTGGCGTGGGTTCGACTCTTGGCCTTGGTGTTTATGTCCTTGCTGGTAGCATTGCCAAAGAGACGGCTGGTCCAGCCGTCTGCATTTCTTTTCTCATTGCAGCTATCGCTTCCGCGTTTGCCGGTAAATTAGAATTGCCCGTATTGACAATTTATTTTTATCAAAAAGACATAAACATGCATTAATAAGTAAAATAAATCTTATTTTTTTTTTCAATTATAATGTTCGATAAAAATTTATATTTAAAAAAAAGATTTAAATTTTATTTCTTTATCAAATGATAATTAAATAAAATCTAAAATATAATTAATTCGATAATTTATTTTTAATTATCTTGCTTTTTATAAGAGAGGCAATTATTTTTAACTTACAGGGATGTGTTATGCAGAATTTGCTTCCAGAGTTCCGAAAGCAGGATCAGCATATGTTTACAGTTATGTAACAGTAGGAGAATTCATTGCCTTTATTATAGGATGGAATTTAATTTTGGAGTATATAATAGGTGAGATAAAAGATTACTTATTCCTATTGTAAAAGTATTAATTTTATAAAAACGTATTAGAAAATAGAAATTAAAATATAATCTTTATATTTGTATTAAAATAATATTTGTTGATATAATCATTGATTATTAAAATTAATAATTATTATCGATATTAAAAATTTTATTAGGTACAGCAAGTGTCGCCCGAGGACTTAGTAATTATTTGGATGCCTTGATAGGAAATGTAATAAGTAAAACATTGCATTCTGTAATGCCTATAAGCGTTTCGTTTTTATCAGAATATCCAGACTTCTTTGCGTTCACTGTAGTAATACTTCTCATAATATTGCTAAGTATAGGCGTGAAAGAATCGTCAATTTTAAATAATATATTCACTGTAATAAACTTGATGACCATTTTAATAATCATAGTTGCAGGATCTATTAAAGGTAATAATTTCTATTTGTCGTTTAAACATGATATTAATGATTCGAATTAAAGTAATTAAAAAAGTAATCCCTATCATAATATTTTTAAAGATGCCCTGTTGATTATAATTTATCTGATTCTTTAACATTAAATAATCTATGAAAAAAAAAAATATTTATGAAAAAAGATCTTGAACGTGTAAATTATTTTGACATATAAAATAATTTTAGCTGATCCAGCTAATTGGGGAATATCGATAAATGATATACCACAATCAGAACAACAACATGCAGGATCAGGAGGTTTTATGCCCTTTGGTATAAGCGGAGTGATGGTCGGGGCAGCAAAATGTTTTTATGGTTTCGTAGGATTTGACGCTGTTGCAACTACTGGCGAAGAGGCTAAAAATCCTCAACGCAACATACCTATAGCCATTGTAGTTTCTTTAATTATAATTTTAATGGCTTATTTTAGTATTTCGACTGTATTAACTATGATGTGGCCTTATTATGACCAAGTACGCTTATATACGAATTATACTTTTTAAGATTTCTTTTTATTACAATTAATTATATCTGCTATTAAAAAATATTTCATATTTAGAATGCCGATGCACCGTTTCCATATGTATTCGATAAAATTGGATGGCCTACTGTTAAATGGATTGTCAATATCGGTGCAGCATTTGCGTTATGTACAAGTTTGCTCGGAGCCATGTTCCCTTACCTCGAATACTTTATGCTATGGGTAATGATGGGATAATTTTTAAACGACTTGCAAACGTACATCCGAAAACGATGACACCTATTTTCGGTACAGTGGTTTCTGGTTTATTCACGGGAATTATGACACTTATTTTTAATCTTCAACAATTAATTGACATGATGTCTATTGGAACGTTATTAGCATATACGATCGTAGCAATATCCGTTTTAATATTAAGGTAAA